CTTATACATTTAAAAATATTTAATTTATATAATATTACCGTAGCTGTTTTTTTTTCTTTTCCCACTTAAAGAAACTTTTCGGCACGGAGATACGTGAAAAAAGTGTATCATAAATACAGGAAGCTACAATCATCAATCAAATCGATCGCTCGTTCTTCTAATCGTTAAATGCATAATTCAACAATATCACAACATTATGCGAATATAAAGATGCATTTTTTCTTTTTCCATCGTACTTTATCCGTTCGTAATGAGTGGAAGCACACTGAATGTCTATATAGGTTCCGTCTCTTAATCTTTTTTTTCTTTTTTTTGTCTTTAAGATGTACAACATCGTACATTCGTACATAAGATATTAATAGCTTGTGTTACGTAGAACGAAACCGAGATGGGGAAACACGGAGCTGCACAATTCGCACAATACGACATCGCGTTGCTCAAGTTTGAGATCCACATTGTTCCGCCTCTTGCGTTTTGCGCAATTAACACGAACCCATGTAATCCTTAATTAGTCACGTGAGATTATACGATAATCGTCCGAACACCCGCAAATGCAACATAGAGAATGCGCTGAGCGAAGCGAAATTATAACTACGTTATGTTCTCGCAGTGAGCCTGGTGAAGTGAAATTCGTTGTTTATTGCTGAAAATGAAATCGAACATCATACGGGGTCGATAGATCTAATCTATCTATCCCTTGCGATATACAGCGAAGAACGTAACGTTACTAATTATACAATTTCATCCGAGCGCGACTAATCAAGGTTCGATCGTTGATCACTTTGTACAAATTCACAAAGAAAGATTCTCACCACACGTTCTTGCGAAAATTATATGTTAACGGGTTCCTCGTGATCTCTCTTGCTTTTCTCTTCTGTCTATCCTTGAGAAGCGTACACGAAAACTGCAAATTCACCGAGTCTTTGAATGAGCACTTGACGAGATCTCGCTCAATTTCCATCCGGTGGCAGTGCTGCTATGCTCGGATTCTCAGGACGACGCTATAATCCGTGATTTTCTTGGATTCTCAAACTTGAAGCCATGCTTGAACACATAACGAGCGCTCGATAAATCGGCCAATTTTTTACCTCAGACGATGACTTGACACGTGACACAAGACTAACACGCGCGACGAGGTCTCAATTACTTTTCTACAAGTGCAAAGAAGGCGACAATGTCGGGCGACGAGAGAGGCGAGGGTAGGCGTAGGCGGCGGGGGTTATCTACGAACGTTGATAGACATCGTAACAACGGCTGCAATTCGTAACTTCTGAGAAAAATAGAACATCTGACTATCCTCTTTATACGTTCGTTACTCCAGGTATACAATCTTAGTCATCGAAGGGAGAGATTCTCAAAGACCGGAGAATACGAGTCGTGCAATTGTTTCAAACCGGGTTAAAACGTGCGTTTTGCGTTCTTTCGTATCGTCACTTAGGTCTAGTAAAAGTTGCCGTTGTTGTTCGTGTAACACGCTAAAAGCGAGAAACGAACAAAATAAGGTAGAAGAATGAGAACTTGTGGAAATTCGCGACTTATCAGCGGCACTCGCGTATCATCATCGTCGTTCTCGCGTCGGAAGCGCGCTTGTCGGAATCTGACACGCACACACACACATACAGACATACACGTCGCTATATACAGCATATACAGCTATACAATAGTATCGCTACACGCAGCTATTCCGACTAAAGACAGCTATTCCGGTAGGCCGTCCAAAAAGCAATCAATTTCCTTTATTATAACACGACGTTTGACGGCTGATTCCAACGATCGCGCTTCACGAGTGGACGCAACGATCAAGTCCGAGTCTCACCCTGGTGAACACCAACCAACAGCAACATCGCATCAATGGCTACATTCAATAGAGAAAGCTGTTCTATTGTAAACATTCGTGAATCTGATTGAAGCTTTTCTCTTGATCTCGGTTAAATCTAAGAATGTACACCCATCAGATTCGCGAATTTTGCAACAGTTGCAGCTTTATCTGCTGAACGCAGCCAATGCTGCGATTTCCCACTCGATCGTGTAATTGTTACACAACACTCGCGTTATATCGCACTTGCATCTCTAAGCGAGAAATTATAACATTGACGTTGTTGTGTTACTGACAGTTGGCGTTTACTGGGATGTGTATTACAAAGCTTTCTTCGCGCGCTTCTCCGTACACTTACGGAGAAGCGATCCGAATTTCTCGTAGAAGCTTATATAATCTCTTCGTATTATCCTTAGACTGAGGATATACACATGCGTAACCCTGATTATTCCTCGATACGAAAATAAATCCTTTGTCATCGTTCGCTATCATCTTAAGACCTGCTTACAAGTGTACTTGATTCGTACTTGGTGTTAAAAAGAAGATGCAGAACGCCGCTGTGACACACGTGTATCTTTTTTCTTCTTTTTCTCTTTTGTTGTCTTTCTTTTCCCATTGTGAAAAAGTAAAATGGACGATCGGACTTTAAACGTCAAAAAACATCGGCACGCGTGTTTTACTTCGCGAGTGCGAGCGAAGGTGACGTGTTCGATATACGATCTACGAGCGAACAAACAAAATCAATGGAGAAAATATGTCGCCAATTTTCCTACCCTTTCCCCCCTCCCCACCCACTCAAGCTATCTGCGACGACACGCGCGATCATCGGTATTAGATTTGTTCTCTTTTATCTCATCGCATCGATTTTCTCCTCGCACACGCCTATTTATCTCACCCGATACTTAAAATCTTACTTTCGTTGCACTTTGCTTTTGTTCTCCTTATTACTTTAAATAATCACTCTTCGCTCGTAGGCAACGCCCGTACGAAAACCTAGTCGTTTAGTTCGTAATTACTAATTGCCTTATCGCGATCAAATGTAATTGATAATCTTTAATACTTAATGTACACTTAAAGATTGGATGGGAAGGGACTGCGCTTACGGAATCTGATAACATCTTTCAAGTACCATATATTAAGACTTTCGTGGAATCGGAATTTTATAGTCAGTGTATCAGAAAAATACCTTTATGTATTTGCAATGAAAGATCAAAAATATATATATAGATATAGCGTTTCGGGTAATAAGCGAAGTAATGACAAACGTAGTCGAGGCGCGCTCGAAATACCGGCTCATACCACGGCATTTCTCGCGGATATAATCTCGTCATACAATAAATTACTCCGCGCGCTGTCGCACCGTTTGGCCACAGTGTGTAACAATATAGCGACCTATAATAATTATAATAACGATCGTAACTTTATACACATAAAAATCCGCAGCAGGGGGCGAGACGGACTGCGTCCGATCGCCTTTCGCGCGGACGGAGTTATTATACACGTGATACACACAATTCAGATATGTCGAATGCAAAAATCAGAAAATGACTGGAAATCTCATCCACGAAGAAAAGAGATAGCGGAGCTCATCCAACCGTTTGTCATATTAGCAGCCACATGTACGCGTATCTCGCGCGCGATTCACAACGCCAAAAAATCTTATCTCGCTCGCAGCACACATATCCGTTAAAAAATAGATATATTTGTGAAGTATACGTATATGGTGCGTGTTTTAACGGAGGACAAAGAACACACTTGAAGCGTGTAGAATAAAAACAGTCATTACGGCGATCTCTCACAGCATAGACGGACATACAAATGAAAAAGCGTTTTCAACGCGAGACTTCAACGCGCTCCGAATCGTATCTCGCCATATCATGAAGATATATCGCAACTTATCGCTTTAATCGAAGATGTATCTAAGCGAAAAAAACGTGAATATCCCGCGGTCGTTCAGGGCGATTGCGTAGCTGTTACGGGGCTCTTATCAAGAGTCTGAATTATACAATATCACTACCTGGAGTAACTCGCGAGAGACAGAAAGAGAGAGAGAGAGAGATAATGGGGGAGAGAGCGCGCGAGAGTCAATCGCATGCAACTAACCCTGCGCTATAGACAGATTTTTCAATGTTTCTCCATTCCAAGCGATGGCGATGCAGTAATGCTGGAGCAGTTGGGTGAGGAGCTCCCGTTCGTCCAGCATCTCTATGTGCTCGATTCGACTACGATCCATTTCAGGCAGTGAATCATAAATCTCCACCATCGTCCATGCGTTTGAGCCCTCCCAGTTGTTCATAGTGAATCTGAAAATGATCGGCGACGAATTAGTGGTCCAAAGGCCGAGGACGCGGAGGCGCAAGCGATCTTCCAAGGACCTCCAAAGGTGTCTCACCGTCTCTGTTGGGTCTCTAACGACTCGCAGTCTTCTACGCCCGCCAACAGACAACCACGACTGCGCAAATTCGACAGCATCACTTGGCCGAATTTGTCCTTCATGTTTACCTGCTCGTAACTGACGAACAGGCTGTTCGGAAACTTGAATGCCAGCCACTTCAACAGTGACGAGGTTGCGCTAGCGTCTATATAAACAAGAACACATTCTGCGAGGAACATGGTGGGTAAATTGTGATTGACCTCGGCTTGAGTCAATTTGTTAGTTAGCTCCGCCATGTGTCGCAGATCTGTACCAACCAGGTGATAGTTCGCGGCATGCAGGTCTGTGGTTGAAAATCGAATTTCTCCATCTGCAATGAAGCCGCGCGGGCAAATGGCATGTATAACGATTCGGCGAAATAATGAGAATAATAATAAATGGTGAATAAGGATGAAAAATTATGATGAATAGGAATAAGCAATAATTGTGAATGAGCGCGACCGGATACCTTCGGTGTTTAACATATCGATCAATTGCTTGTGCTTCTTGATGTGATAGCATTTCTTGGCGGTGATACTGGGAAAGTCCAGCTCGACGAAGTTCGCGGGACTGTTTCCAGCCTTCCTGAGCCTCCAATAGAGTGTGTCAAAGCCAGCACCCAAGTTTATGATCTGTCCTTTACCACCAGACAGCTGCACACACGCACATATGAAAAATTCATCCCGTTCAGAAAGATGACATCAAGCTCTTTCTTTTTTTCTGGCTTTACTCAATGTTAAATCCCATAATTAATTTGGTTTTCTTCACAGAAAATATATGGTAGAGAATAATTTGTTAATAAAAATATTCATTCTTTTCAGCAGAATGATATTGAGTTTTTTTCTTAATTCAATAATTACTTCAATATTTTTTAATTACTTCATTACTTTAATAATTACTCAAACTTTTTACTTCAATAATTAACTTGGAAGAAAGATAGTAAGATCACATTTTCTTTATATTGTAGAGAATAACTTATTAATCACAAATTCATTCTGTTCAGAAAAAAATATCTCACATTGCAGAGGACAACTGATTTCCAATTTACAATCTCAAGATTTTCCATATAAACATGTATATGTATATTTACATGTATTTCATTCAAATATAGTTTACTAAATGCATTTCTCAAATTCTGGTTACCAAAAGAAAAAATAAATATGTTTGTTTTCCCTACATAGCACATATAATAAATTCATTCCATTCAGAAGGATGCTATCAAACTTTTTCTCTTTTTCTGATTTTGTTACAATTTTGTACATTTTTCTTAGAGTACTATTTATCTACATTTCTCAACATTTTTTACATAAACAAACACAAATATATGTTCACATATATTTCGTTCAAATATAGTTTACCAAATATATTCCTCAAACTCAGATTACCACGTTTGAATAAATTCCTGCCCTTAAAATCTAAAACAGGAAAGAAATACATTCGTGCAATTTATATAAACAAGCAGACGGAAACATGTTTGTTTCGACTACATCGGGCAGATTTCGCGGCGTGCATCGCTGCATCAATGCCAATTCGGAAATGAAACACAAACTTGGCACGCGTCGCAGAAGCGTTTTTCATCGACCTATATATCGGCTGGCCGCGATAAAAGCGGGGAACCTCAGGGGAATTAGGACAGGGCCTCGGCCGGCGGGTCAAGGTTTCCGCCGCTGCACGTCCCTGCCACCCGGATCAGCTGTACTGCCCCTCCCCCTTACCGACCGATTGTTTCCGATTCGTCGTATGCGCGTTCTAGGTTATATTTTCGCCGCGACAACGAGCAGATTCGCTCGTATCCGTTGCGCTCATCTGCATTTCTCGCGTTTGAAATGAATTCTCCATGCGTTTCAATTGCATTTTTCATGCTCGAGACGAAAATGGATGCGCGACAAAGGCGGGCATACGAAAATCGGACATTTCCATAACAGGAGATAAGAGTGCAGAGAGTGCAATCGGGAAACGAATGTCATCAAGCAGTAACGAACAGGCTAACGACGAAGTCGTTCGATCGCAGAAACATCCGAAAAAAAACGCTCGTCGTGAAATCATGTTACTCCCCTCACGCGAGGAACACGGGGACAGGTCGCAGGGAGAGTCGAGAGGCGCGAGAGGAGACGCAAAAAAGATCGCGAGAAGATACGCAGGCAAGATACAGGCGAAAAAAACAGACTCTGGCCTATCGCATTCACGCTACACCTTCTGCACTTGTTACGCGAAATAGGCGCGCCGAAGGGAGACAAGTGGAAGGGAAGAGAGCGAGCCTAACGATATATCGCAACGTGTGGCGCTCACCTTGAGGAACTTGTCGACGAAGAGCTCGATGCCCTTGACTCTGGCATAGTAACCGCGATTGATCTCGGGTGCCTTCCGTGTGCTCTGCTTCACGAACAGGCTGATAAACGAGTCGCACCAATAGCCGAGCGTAACAGCGTAGCGCTTGCACTCGCTGGCGTCGTCGTTGGTGGCCTGTATGGCCTCATCGTCCGCCATATCCTTGATCATCACACCGGCGCCGGGGATAGTGGCGGTTTACCGCTCGTTCTCCTTATGCCTCCTATCTCTCTCCCTCGCACTTGCACTACCTCTCTATGTATATATATATATATATATATATATATATATATCTATATCTCCTTCCCTCTCTCAGTTAGAAACGATCATTCTACCACTCGCGGTTTCGCGCGGCACGCGCGGACGCCTCAGGGTTGCGACGAACGTCGAGCGGACGATCACGGATCTGTCACTCGCGCACCACTGCGCCGCCGGCGGCCATACTGCCCCCGCGGTGTTGCACCACATCTACACCTGCTTGCTCGCCCGCGGCGGAGCGCCGCGCAGGGCTGAAACGATAAAGCTGGACGTGTGCGTTGAAGATGTTGGCAACGCGCAACCTGCGCGCTCACTCTAGGCGCGAAATTTGAATCTTCGAAAACTACGTTTTCATTCTTAGAAATTTTAATCTGTTCCTATCGCGTTTCTCAAAACGAAAGATGTAGATCTTTAGACTTTAGAGCAGAAGCAAGGTTCCACTAACATTTAATAAAGCTTCGTTAATGATTAATAGTAATAATAATAACGTTATAATAATACGTTGGTGTATTCCTTTCCATCGTGAAAGCGAAAAATAACGTGTTCTTAACGATAATAGATTTTTCATGAACGCATATATACATATTTTATTGAGAATAAATCTCTACAAATTTAGCACTGCAATATATGTCTTTGGTATATCTTTAGAAGTCTTCATTTTTCTCATAGAACTCTTCTCAATCGTGTTACATGTTGCAGTAAAATATTCTTGAAAATTTAGTGTTTTATATGATATGTTTAAAAGATATTTTAGTTTTTACATTCAAAATTAAGAAACTTGTTTTCTATACATACACGTCTTTCTCTGTATGAACGTATCGTTGGAAGCAAATTATTTTTGGATAGTTAACAAGACAGAGTATAAAAATACACACTGAAAAATATAATTTAATAAACATGATACACATGTGTGAGAGAGAGTATACAAAAGGATGAACAGTTACGCTAAGAATTATTGCGTGATATCTCAATTGCTGCTTTCGCAACGTTATATCGCTCTCGAATGTGATAATCTAACACGATCTCTATTATATTGTTTCTGATAAATTCACAAATTTGTAACAATTGACGGATTTTCGTTCAGTCGATGTAAATAAGTGCGCCATAACAAGACTTCGCTATATATAACGTATATATATATGTATGCATAAATAAAATATAAACTCCACGATGATTTTTCACAAATATTAGTATAGTTGCGAGAAAAAATGATCTGCGATGCGACTGCAATGTCGTTTCATCGACACAGATTCATAATAATAATCGATAGAACGTTACAACTGATCAATCACAGTTAATTTCCTCTCTTCTCAGTTCTGCGATACATCCTACTGCAATATCATTGCATCCATTGCACATCAAAGCAAGTAAACAAAAGTATAAAATACTCGCTGGATATAATAATAGCGATAAGATGTGTCCAAATCGAGTTGCTCAAGCAGTCCCCAGTATATCGCCCGAAGAAGTTTGCGGATCCTGCTTAAGTAGCGGCGATTTGCGAAAACAATTTAATTACAGAAATACGGCACTTAAAAAAGAAACGGATAACTACGGAAGAAGCGAGTGCTATACGGCTTGGCGTGTGGGAGTGCGAACATAATTAATAAAAAAAAAAAAAAAGAGAGAGAGTGAGTATAAATACGGATTACAGATTGTGTCGATTAAACTCGATATCGCTCGACACCTCTGGCGGACGCGGTATCAAGCTCAACGGCAATATAGAAACTCTTGCGATATATTAAAAGTATCAAAAAACTGTAACAGACTAGCAAGTGTAATCTCTTTTTTTAGCGTTCTACCTTTAACCCTTTCGAGACGGTGTTACCGTGTCCTGAATTTATCGGAGATTCATAACGGCATCGTTGCATGCTTTGAATGAGTATAAATCAATATTATATAGTACGCGACGGTGGTGTATATTAATAAACAACTGATTTTGTTCCACGCGCGTATGTCATTTTACGTGCAATTTTCTACGTTAGTTTTACGAAAATAAAGTCTCAGAAGATCTCGAAAGGGTTAACGCTCCTGTCGTAGGACTCCGTCATGTTCTCGTCCAACGCGACAAACGTCCGGAGGATTTCCTCGGATATCCTCGGATGTTCTCCGCGTCGGTCGAGTTTATCATCGTCGACTTGGATCGGCCGATCACTCTTCTGCCTCAAATTTCTTGCCAGCCGTTCCTTTTGCACTCGGGGGACTAGTCTTCGTCTTTCGTTTAGGCGGGACGGGCGCGTCGGGGGTGGCGGCGGCGGCGGAAGTGGTGGTAGTTGGTGGCGGTGGCGTCTCCGGAACCGTCGTGTCGGCTTCGAGGCTCTGGCCGCTCTTAGCACCGCTCTTCTTCACGACCTTCACCGTCTTCTTCGCCTTACTCTGCGAATTGTCTCCGGTGGCGGCGGCAGCGGCGGTAGCGGTGGCAGCGGCGGCGACGGGAGTGGCGGCAGGGGCTGCCTCCGGAGCCGCCGAGGCGGTCTCCTCGGACTTTGGTGGCTTTGGCTTCTTCGTCACCTTTTTTACCGTTTTCTTCGCAGCCTTCTTATCTGCGCTCTCGCCGTCCGTACCGTCCGCGGAGTCGGACTTCTTCAGGCTTTTTTTCGCCGCTTTCTCTTGACCCTCAGCCGTCTCCTGCGCGCTCTCTACGGACGGACTAGTCGGTGGCGTGGCCTCAATCACCGTTGGCGTCGAAGGAATTTTCGCTTCGACAGGTTCTGCCGGTGGCTGTTGCGGGGTCTCGGCCATTGATAACTTTGGAACTTCGCCAGGTGGTTTGGCGGTCGCTACCGCTGCTGGGGCTTCGGCTTTAATCGCTTGTTCAGTAGATTCCGTGGGTTTTGCTTCCGCTACTTCGGGTTTCGCTATCTTAACTTCCGGTTGCGCGATCGTTTTCGTGGTTTCGATTTTCGTAGGCTGCTCTGAAGCTTCTTTCGGTTTTTCTTCCGCCGGTTCGACTTGTGCGACTTGTTCTGCGGGTTTTGCTTCTGTCGCCTCCGTTTTCGTTACTTGCTGTTCCGCAGGTTTTGTTTCTTTCGCTTCCGCAGGTTTTGTTTCTTTCGCTTCCGCAGGTTTTGTTTCTTTCGCTTCCGACGTCGCGGCAGGTGCTGCTTCCGTTGTTCCTGTTGCTACCGGAACCTGTTCTGCAGGTTTCGCTGCTTCTTCCTCCACTTTCCCAGCCGGTATTTCTGCGGCTACCACACTAATAGGCTCTGCTTTCCCCTCGACAACCGGCTGCGCCTCCGCCGGTACATCTTTCACCGTAACCGAGTCACTCGCTGGTTCCTTCGTGGGTTCAGCAACAGCGGCAGCGTCAGTCTTTTCTGGTGGACTAGGAGCCGCAGCCGCAACGTCGTCGCGTTTCCCAGAATCACACGACAATCCGTTTAATTGAACAGCCTGTTCTTTCGGCTCAGTCGCTATTGTGGGAGCTACGTCCGTGACAGCAGTGACCGTTGTGGCAATTGCCTGATCGCTCACAGCTGCTGCCGTGCCCGACACGGATTCCTTGGGCTCAGCTTGAAGAACCGATTCTGCAACTTGGATGGGCACAGGGCTCACGGTCGAGATTTCGGAAGCTGCCAGCAACATCTCCGCGTGACGTTCGCTGGGATCTATCGTCAGGGGCTGCGTTACATCAGTCGTGCATTCAATTATAGGCTTCCCAATTTCTAGAATCGACGTTTCGCTCGGTGCTACAGCGGAAGCAGTGATGTCCTGTGGAGTGTCTGCACCGATTGGAATAGCAATAGGCTGCGTTGTGTCTGGAGTAGCTGCAAGTTGCATTGTTTCTGGAGTAGTAGGAGTTGGGAGCTGTGGCTTGTCGTCGGCAGGTGCTGGTACTGGTGCAGATGCTGGTACAGGTGCTGGTGCTGGTACAGGTGCTGGTGTTGGTGCAGTTTCGGTCTGAACAACAGGAGCAACTACTTCTAGGACAGGCGGCTTGCAAACTGCGCTTGTCAAAAGGCATGCTTGCGGTTTAGCTGGTGGTGTGGCTTCCGCAGGTAATTGGACGCTTTCGCTTTTATCTTGAGACGTTGCTTCTTGCGTTGTTGGACTCACAAGCTTGCATTGCTCTGCGGTTGTCTCCGCGGGCGGTGGCAATTCTACGGGCGGTTTCGGAGAAGACACTTCAGTACACGTTTCGCACGGTTTCACGTCCTGCGATTCCTGTGTCGGCGGCTTCATACAAACGTCTTCCGGCACGGATTGTACCGGTTTCACTGCGGCAGCTTCCACCGTGACACTTTCTTCAGCAGCCAATGCGGGTGTCTTCTGTTCAGAAGGTTGCGCGACGATGACTTTTTCATCACGGGTCTCAGCAGGGATGACTGGCGCTGGAAGCTTTTCCTCAGATAGTTTACATGTTAGAGATTGCTCTTGCGTCGAATCCTTGTCCGTCTCAGCTAGATGAAAAGAGAAAAGTGATGTAAGTATAAAATTGGAACAAAGCATGCACAGTATACAGAAAGGATTATTCTAAAAAGAGACAGAAGAAGAAATCGTGCAACAGTTTTATAGTACATTTACAAAATATGTTGTCTTTTGAATATATGATAATAGCAGTATCAGTTAATGCGGAATACCATATTAGACGTTCCCATTTGTAATGTCAGACGAAATAAACAATGGTAACAATAACCCCGTTCCAGCATACTGAAATGTGTCACAAATTTGAATAATGTGATGCGCTCAAATGACAATGCAAATTAATTATGAGCGAAACTACAAATGAAACTACAAATAAATATATAATTTTATACGTGGATATATGTCCATATATGTAATATGCTATGTGTTTCTGGTGTTAGTATGAAGCAAACAAAGCATAATGACAGCATAATATTTCACGCATCTAACAATGTATTGTTCGAAGCGCTACGAATGGAAGTCGTATTATTCCATTCGTAGGAAATTAACAAAGCAGTATTAAACGTAAAATGTCCTATTAATAAGCAGTTACGATAGATGATTCATAGAAGTATACTGTTATATTCACACGAAAAAAGCGCATTCATATAAGGAAAGTATCGTATTTTTCAAAGTATTAAATTATACCCCATACACTTCGTTCATGTAATTTTATATAAATATGTAAATAATAAATAATTTAATACTGTATTTTGTGCAGATGTAATGTATCACGAGATTTATAGAGTATTTTATGGTGTAAGTGAGACAGATAAATTTTCAAAGTGGAGAAAGATCTTTCGTGCCAGCTTAACAATGGCCAAAGAGAGAGAGAGAGAGAGAGAGAGAGTAACTAAAATAATTAATCTAAAATTAACGACCAGTGATAGTTTCAATGTATTTCAGAATGTATCATGATCTTGTAGACGTGCTTCAGAATATATTACGTGATGTCGTGATGAACGTTTTGTGCGAGCGCACTTAAAATATTTACCCCATTAAAGCAAAATGACAATATAAGATTCAGCAATGCTATGGCGCCCGGGTCTGTTAGTTGCTGTCCTCAGTTCCTGCTGCAAACGCTCAAACATGATCAATTACATTAAAAACAGTATATTGTTATTGTACTTTCTGATTTAAAGTGACACGCGAAACATGTATTAACGTAAGCGTCTGATTTTTAAGTACCTAATCGTTTTCTCGCACGTCACAATGGTCTGGATTCAAAACTACTAAATACCTGATTGAATATCGCATGCTGTATTAAGTAAAAACGAAAAAGACAAACAAAAACGCAAAGCATACTTGAGGAAACGGTTAATGACTTTGTATTGTGAGTACATCTCAAATGTTTCACAGATCTCTCATTTCAACTCTATAGCTGAGTCAAATATTGTGTTGTTATTGAAATTTCTAGTATGTGTAAGACGCATTTTACTCGATAAGACGTTCTTACGAATAGACGATGTTAATTACGTAAATACGTATACGTAAATTAAAAATTGGGTGGTGACAAGACATACCAGCTGGTGTTTTTTGTTCGACAATAGCAGCTGGCTGTACGGTAGGCGTAATAAGGATAGAAGACCCCTCATCTTTAGGTTTATCCTGTAAACATTCATAGTGATATAAATTATATATTACTGTAATTCAGTCTTTATGTCCATATTTATAATCGTATATATAAGATTATATAGATATTTATAGATTTATAAGTTTCGATTTATAATATATAATAAGTTCCAAGTAACGATTGTATAAGTTTCAAGTAACGATTATATATTAGGACCTTAACTTAGTTTCCGCCCAAAAAATACTGAGAAAAAGCATTTATTGTAAAAAATTTATTTAAATTATTTCAATGAAAGTATTTTCCATCACTTTCTACAACTTTTTGCCATCTTTCTGGCAACTGGGCGATACCATCTCGATAAAACGATGTTTGTTTCGAAGCAATCCATTCGTCCACCCATTCTCGC